AGGGTGCCAGAAAAATGTTATGTACCTCACCAAATGGCTCTCTCTCCCATTGTGATGATCTGGCCGCCTGTTTTCCCTGCACGAGAGGTAGGACATGATCAAGAGGAATGACCCCCTGTGTTTGATCTTTGTAATATCTTCACCGGGTATGACTTCTGTAATAGAGAGGTATGTTTCTGACTGTGGTAATGGAAATTGATGAAAAATCAAAATTATGCTGATGGGCTTGGTTGCATCTCGTCTGACTAATGTAATGTATGCTATTTCACCGTGATGTTCCTCTCCTTAGTTTGGAATGTGTTTGCAATGTGTTGAAACAATGTGTGCAAGTCTATCTGCTATTTACCCAGAACTAAAATATAGTAGACTCTTTAAATGTAATGGTTACCAATGTGATTAACAGATACAAAGATTAGTCGATTCAAATGTGTAGAGTTTGTGTCACCAGCTCATAGTCGTAATCTTGTAGGTTGGATCATAAGAACCTTTTTTCATCTCAATAAATAAAAACTAAGAGTAGTGCATTGCAAGAGACCAAGCTGAACTGCATTGAATCTTCTAAACTTGATTGCAGTGTATATAACATATTTGTTGTGTGAAGAGTCGGTAACTAAGATTTTTCTGGTAATGATCAGTAGTGCAGAAAAACTTTGAAAGATGGCCATGTAAAAATGACAAGCATCAACTGGAAGAGAAATACCTGAAAGTACAACTCGTGGCAAGCTTCGTTTCTGTTACGGACAGGGATGGCTCAAACGATAAGATAAGTTACGCATGTGTTGTGCTGTACATTATTATTTGCATTAAACCTGACTTCTGTTTTCCAATTTTTATGTCCACAAAGCTATAATCCACCCATCATCACTAGTTCACTACTATTAGTTCTAAGGAAAAATTTGATAGACTTCATTAGATGAAGTTTTCTCCCAATGGCGCCCATAAAAAATGGGATGGATATCTCTCCCATTATGATGATCTGGCTGCCTATCTTCCTGGCACGGAACATAGGGCATTATCAAGAGGAATGACCCCCCTGTGTTTGATCTTTGTAATATCTTCACTGGGTACAACTTCTGTAATAGAATGTATTCTATTTCACTGTGTTTAATTGCTCTCTTTGGTTTGAAACGTGTTTGTGCATAGAATTTGTCATGGCTGTTGAAACAATGTATGCAGCTCTATGCTATTTGCACAATACAAGATATAGTAGATTCTTGCATTTACTGGTTGCCAACTTGATTAACAGATACTGAGCTTAGCAATGCAAATGTGTAGAGTTTATGTCAGACTCACAACCATATAACACTGGGTGTTGCAGTCATGTAAGATTGATCTTAATAACCTCTGTCATTTATGTTAAAAGGAAATTGAAGTCTGCAGAAGTGTATTGTTAGATATCCACCCGAACTGCACTGAATCTTCCAAGATTGACCACAGCGTGTATAAGATATTGCCGAAATGAAGACGTACGGTAATGAAGATTTTATCATAGTGATCAGTAGTGTAAAAACAAAACCTTGGAAGACAAGCAAGTAGAAATGAGGAGCAGCAACTGGAACAGAAATGACTGAAAGTACAACTTTTGGCAAGGAAGCTTCATTTGTGTTCTGGAAGGTGAGCATGTTGAATGTTAGTTGTGATATCCATCTGCCACATTAGAACTTGTTTATTTCTCCGATTTCTTTTTCCAATCCATCCATCATCACTAGTTCACTACTAGAAGTTATAGGCGAGATCGTTAGGTGTGATCTGGAGCTAGTTCTCTACTTAATTTTGTGCTATCCATTAGACAAAGGGGTTTTAGGTGTGATGCATGATTTCGACATCTCCACACTATTGATATTCCTTCTCACGCACAAATGGGAAAAACAGGCTATTAGAGTGTATCTAAACCTAGCTTATCAGGAACCTCTGGAATCATCAGCTGAAGCATTGATTCAATTGATGCAACCAAAGTTCAGCCTATCTTGAATCTTTTGATTCTTCACACCATTTTTCTATGTATGATTCTAACAACAAAAGTCCAACCTGTTCCGAATCTTGATTCTTCTTCATCTTACTTATTCGAGACACTATTCAAAAATATCAAGGATCAGCCACTCTCCTGGTCATAGCAAACTGTAATTGGCCCCTACCAAAAGAAAAGATAAAAAAAGTGTTAGCTAGAATAGAACCTTTAGACAGAGAACAAATATTCTTCCTGATTAGCCACATCTCATAGCGATTCCCTTGCACCTCAATTAAGCATGCAATCCTGCGCCGACCACTCCCGCCTCTTTACCGGATGCAGCTAGTCATCTACAAATAAGCATCATTTCATCGGCGGCAGGCTTGTCGGCACCACCGACCAGGTCATGACGCTGCACGTCGGCGGCCAGCTCGTGCCGCTGCTCCGCCAGGCTGGCGCCCTCTGGCTCTGAAGATCTATGACAGCAGTGGCTGATGCGTGTGTGCAGTTATGTGTGATCGCAGCCTCGAAGTTGAGCTAAGCTAGTGATCATGTAGCGCATCTAGTGCATCTACATAATTTTGGAAAGGTCATTATCAAACATATTAACAGTCATGATTTTTCAGTTTGACCTCTTGTTGTCATATGACAGATGCAATGGATGCTTTGTGATGAGCATCCTGAGCAATACTAAAGGAGCTTATGCTTATCTTATCTTGTCGTTGCTTAATTTAGCCTACTGTTGTGCTAAGACCTTGAGAGAATCCACGGTATATATAATGCTCCTCAGTAAATGGAGAATATAGTGTCATATCGTACATGTTCTTCTTGGAGCTATATAATGGTAGTAGATAATAGGAGGTAGATGCACTAATTCAGGGAGGTTAGTATGTTGAGGTAGATGCACTGGTCCAGTGAGCTCGGTATGGTACGAGCCAAAAAGAAGGATCTACCTAGGCTGCATTTGGCTTATGGAATTGCAGCTTGTTTGGCCAAAAAATGTTTTTCTACTCTTAGCCTTAGGTGAATGCTGTCGATGGCGGGAGGTAGGGCACTCCATGGGCCAGGGTGTCCTCCATTTCGCTTTTCAAACCCCATGGAAACTCCGAATACATGCGTCATCCTAAGTACAGGCACATCGATTTACTATTATTTGTGTAACCCCTTATTTTGTATACTTTTGTTGCTAATTTCCGTCGCAGATTAACAAATTAGTACTGTAGATTGCAATGCCATTCAGTAACCTTAAACTGAGTGGGTTTAGATAGTAGTTGGTATAAAGGTCTAAAAGATATGGTAGGTCAAGATTAACCTTCTAATTCTATACGTTCTTTTCGGCAATCTCATATCTATCACGGAGAAATTAAGAGATATGTCAAGGCTTCTGTAACAAAGTGAAAAGGCGTTTTTCACTATCAAGTTTGCGCACTAGCTAGTTTGACTGTGTAATGTAATCCTGGTATCCATGCATAAGATTGGCGGTCTTTTTTGGGAAGTTTTTACCCGTATTTGTTGAAAGCATATCCCTCATGACATAGCTTATCATCACATCCTGAATAGGAAGGTATGTTGCTGATGAGGTAATGAAAATTGATGAGAAATCAAAATTAACTGGGTGGGTTTGATTGGACCTCCTCTGATTAATGTATGTTGCTGACGAGGTAATGGAAATTGATGAGAAATCAAAATTATCTGTATGGGTTTGATTGGATCTCCTCTGATTGATGTATGTTATTTCACTGTGTTTAATTCCTCTCCTTGGTTTGAAACATGTTTGCATGCATAGAATTTGTAATGCCTGTCAAAATAATGTGTGCAACTGTATCTGCTATTTGCCTTGCCCAATATTCAAAATATAGTAGACTCTTGCATGTACTGGCTACCAACTTGATTAGCAGATACTGAGCTCAGCAATGCAAATGTGTAGAGTTCATGTCACAGACTCACATCCGTAGAACACTAGGTGTTGTAGTCATTTATTTAAGATTGATCTTAATAACCTTTGTCATTTCATTAAAAGAATGTTAAGTTTGCAGAAGTGTATTTGGAGATATCCATCAGAACTATACTGAATCTTCTAAGCTTGACTGCAGTGTGTATAGACTTGGCAGTAATGAAGAATTTTTTTTTAGCCAAAACAGGAGCTCTGCTTTTGCGTTGAAGATAAGGGATTTATCGTAGTGTAATAGAAATGAGGAGCAGCAACTGGAACAGAAATGACCGAAAGTACAACTTGTGGCAACGGAGCTTCATTTGTGTTCTGGAAGGGATGGCTCAGACGATACAACAAAGGTGAGCATGTTGAATGTTAGTTGTGATATCCATCTTCCACATTAAAACTTATTTATTTTTTCCAAGAAACTTTGCCCAATCCGTCCACCATCACTATTTCACAAGTAGTTCTAGCTAGGAGAGATCGTTACGTGTGATCTGGAACTAGTTCTCTACTTAATTTTCTGGTATTCCTTCTCACGCACAAATGGCAAAAAACAAGGAATTAGAGTGTATCTATCCTAGCTTATCAGGAACCTGTTGAATCATCAGCTGAAGCATTGATTCAATTGATATCACCAAAGTTTAGCCTCTCTTGAATCTTGATTCTCCACACATTTTTTTCTATATATGATACTAACAACAAAAGTTCAGTCTGTCTTGAATCTTGATTCTTCTTTAAAAATATCAAAGATCAGCCACTCTCCTGGACATAGCTAACTGTATGATTTTGGCCCCTCCCAATTCCCAAAAGCAAAGATTAGAAAAGGTGGTGGCTAGAATAGAACCTTTAGACAGAGAACATATATTCTACCCGATTAGCCACATCTCATAGCGATTCCCTTGCACCTCAGTTAAGCGTGCAATCCTGCGCCGACCACTCCATGCTCTTTACCCGCCGCGGTCATCTATAAATAAGCACCGTTGGGTCATCTCCATCATCCAACTCCAAGAACACAACAGCCTAGAGCAAGCTCAAGTGAAGTGAGCTGATCAGATCGACCAATCACAAATCCCCAAGAACAGCCTACTAGCTACCCACCAATTCGCTCGATCAGCAATGGCAGACAGAGTGACGAAGCTGGCGTCGCAGCGGGCGGTGGTGATCTTTGGGGCGAGCAACTGCTTCATGTGCCACACGGTGAAGACGCTCTTCACAGAGCTGGGCGTGAGCTGGACGGTGCACGAGCTGGACAAGGACCCCCGCGGGAAGGACGTCGAGAGGGCGCTCGTCGGCATGGTCGGACGGAGCCCGCCGGTGCCAGCCGTCTTCATCGGCGGCAGGCTTGTCGGCACCACCGACCAGGTCATGACGCTGCACGTCGGCGGCCAGCTCGTGCCGCTCCTCCGCCAGGCCGGCGCCCTGTGGCTTTGAAGAGTCATGGACAGGGACAGCAGTGGCTGATGCGTGCGTGCAGTGATGTGTGATCGCAGCCTTGAAATTGAGCTAAGATAGTGACCATGTAGTGCGTGCTCTGCAGTGCAGCTACATAATTTTGGAAAGGTCATCAAACATATTAACGGTTATGACCTTTCAGTTGTACCTCTTGTTGTCATGAAAAGAGTAGAAAGGATGCTTTGTAAGAGATGAGCATCCTGAGCAATATTGAAAGAGCTTATGCCTATTATCTTGTTGCCGTTGCTTAACTAATTTGATGCTTTGCTTAATCTGGCTGGCTGTTGTGCTAAGGCCGCAAGAGAATCCACGGTATATATAATGCTCCTCGGTGAATGGAGAATATAATGTCATATCTGCTGGAATTATTGGAATTTTATTAGACAGTTGTACCTCTCGGTGTGCATCGAGACGTTAGACAGCAGGCCTTCAAATCCCTGCCTCTCTACAGGAGAGAGGCAATAAGGTTTTTAGAGAGCCCTCTAGCGCAACTGTTGAATCTTCCCTTTTCGTGGCAGAGAACGATGGCTTTTCCCCCAACTTGGATTACCTTCTCGGCGATATGACGAACAGTGCACCAACATCTTCTTCCATCGCAGCGTACGTTTTCTCTATTTTGTTAGGTTTTGCATCCGGTTTAATTCGATTATCATCTCTATTATGATTATCATGTTTTATTTACCTACCGTCTTTTGGTCTTTCTGGATCAAATTTAACGGAAAATTGCTCAAATATTCAATAATATTGCTCACACTTATCTCGGGGCTATAGTACATGGATAGCTTGGGGTAGATGCGCCGATACATAGAGGGGAGATCTCGATGCGTTGAGAACTTGAGATAGACGCACTGGTTCAGCCAGGGTGTGTTTGATTGCCGTGCGCTATAGTACCCGCATTGTATACATTTCCCTACCCAACCTGGCTATGCAAATGCAGCCTTAAATGCACCATTTGCATGTTGTTTGGTTGCCTGCATGCCTTTTTGCCTGCATGGGCAGAACCACACTGCCTGGTGTTTGGTTGCCTGCATGTTAATGGACAAATTCAAAGCATGGTGTTTGGTTGTATGTAACACCTCGTGTGTGGTAACCTCTTTGGCTAGTTGGTGAGGTTACCAGCACACTTCGGCATAACCATGTAGCACACATCATAAGCAGAGCAGAGTATAAACAAAGGATCAACTACTTACGAGCATATTCAGATAAGCAGTACCACACTTCATAACAGTTCTGCTCATAATCCATAAACATAAACAATTCAAAGCAGACTCGATAGTACTCAGGGAGGCCCCGACCCTACTCCTTGGCGGCGAAGGCTTCGTCGTGCTTTCCGCACTTGTTAACGACCTCAATGACATCGTCGTCCAAGATGATGACCTTGAGGGTGTCGAGAGTGAGGAGCTTGAACGTCACCATGTAGCTGATCTTGATCTGATGAACGGTTGCGTAGGTGGCCCAACCCTGATCCAGGGTCACCCTGGCGTTCATCAGCTTCACCGTCACCTTTCAGGAGCAGCCGGTGTTGTTCCTGAGCTTGAACTCCGTCGGCACCACGACGAAGTGCTTGGTGAAGTCCAGGGGCATGGGGATGCACCGAAGCTTCGGTGCAAGGATGACCTTGCAGGAGTGAGTTGGGCCATCCTCCTGATGGTAGTGGCCGTAGTTGCGGCGCTTGTTGCTGGGGGGCTTCTCCATGCCCTCGTCGTCGCCACCCTCAGGCGTCTTCGGGTCTTCCTCGACGGTGGGGGGCAGCACAACCTTGTCGGGCATTGGGTGAAGGGGCTGCTTGCCCTTGTTGTCAACGGCCAGGAGCACCTCCGTGCCCATCTCATTGCTCTCCTCGATCTGCACACAATTCATGGAGTCAAGCAGAGCACAGAGTTCATGGCTTATTGAAGAGCATGTAGTTAAAACGGCATGACTGTCACTCTTCTCCTCCTCTCCCTATATTTACTCTCCCTGCCCACCACTACTTACCCACCCCCTCTCTTCTCTCACTGTCAACCTTCCTCCTCCCCATCGCCATGAGCTCTAGCTCCAGCTCCAATGCCAACCCCTTCCCTTGGGGTATTGGCTGGAGGGCCTTCTTCCTCGGGTGGTCGGCTGGTGACAGTACCAAGTTCGAGAACACCATGGATGTGTGCTTGAACTTCGACTCCATGCCTGTCATGCAGAACGAATCTAATGAAGTGCTCATGAAGGCCACTAAAGAAGAGCTAAAGACGTTGATTCCTGACCCAGCGAAGGGCGCGATGGCAGTTGACATCATTCATTGAGCCATTAATCAGGCCGTCTCCGATGACGCTAAACAAAGGAAGAAGTGGTGCAAGTACAAGAACTACTGGGCTCCTAATGACCGCCGTGTCGCAGTGTACTGGGAGACGGCTATCGCGCCGCCGGCGGTCATCGGTGGGGAGCCTAAAGAGGAGGGAGAAGCGGTGCAGATACCAGCGAGGGCGCCGGAGCCAGGCCGTCGTACCTGGCAGATCGACCTTGACTCCGCCGAGGACGACGACGATGACCCGCCGGCCCGCACGGCGATGAAGAAGATGAAGGCCAGCGGCTCGACTAGCCGCTCCGCACGCCGATGATGGCCGCTGCGGTCAGCCGGTGTCCGTTGTGTACCCCCTATCCCCTAATCCCCTTCTGCATTCCGATCTTGCATCTATGAACTCGTATGAACGGGTATGAACTAGTATGAACTACCCATACGCTTATCTACCTCTATTCCCCATTCCCCTTCGTCGTGGATCGAATCTATCGCCGGATCGAACAGGAAAAAGTTCTGCATGTCGAACAGAGAGAAGTGCTTACCGCCATTGCCGTGCGCCAACTACTGATCCGCTCGCCGGTGATGGAGTCCGGTGGTCTTCTTGCTCTGCTTCGATCCGCCGTCGCCGGTGAGAGTAGGGAAGAGTTGGGAGAGGGGGCGGTGAGGCTAATAACTGCCGGCGCTTTGGGAAGCAACGCGGCTTCTCGAGCATGGTCGCGCACGTGCAGCCGCCGCCACCCACGTGCACCGCTCGGGCCTGGCCCTGGAGAAACTGCCGATTCGTGCGTTCCCAGGGAGCCAGGCCCAGGAGTGCTTTAAGGTTTGTGCCATGCGGGCCGCACAGTAAAGGCGGGCAACCAAGCGGGCGACTTCCTTCCCGCGCGGGCCAGGTTGGGCCTAATGCGGGCAACCAAACACGCCCTCAGTGACGGTGCCAGGAACTGGCCAAGGCCTAGGCTGTCTCGAGCAACCTTCATTACTGTAGCACAATAACTACAATAAATGCTAAAACCAAGGAGGGACTTGGGCATTACGCCCCATGCCATGGGTCGGGCTCCTGAGGCCCATCTCCGTCGGTGGTGGCCACAGGAACTGGCAAGGGCCAGGCAGCCCCAGGCAACCTTCGTTTACTGCAGTGTTATAACTACAATAAATGCTACAGTCAAGGAACGACTTGGGCCTCATGCCCTAGGCCACAGCCCGGGCTGCCTGGGGCCTGTCTCCGCCCGTTGGGTTCAGTGAGCTGATGTTACATATCATCCTCATGCATGAGAACACATTTCAAATCAAGACAAAATTGATGTTGAGCTCAAGGCCCTCCAAGTTCAATTTGCATTACCAAACTTTGGTGCTTAGTTAACTAAGTCTCTAAAGAGCAAAACAGAGTCGAGAAAAGGGTAGGCAAAAGCTAGGGCAGAGCAACAACAATGAAAAGGAGTTGGCCCAACAAGGTGGGTCAGGGGATCCTACTTTTGCCATTTCATCTGAAAAATCAAAGTAGGTGATAGTAGTAGGCTTTTCAGTTTGCAATAAGGAGAGGACATCTCCAACTCGGACCCCTAAAACCAATATGGTATTTATCCGTGGACGCCTGGGACCGGTCATCCAACCATGCCCGCATATAGAATTTGAACAAACTAGACGATTGCCATGTAAACATGACGAAATTAACTCAATTTTAGACATGATTTACATAACAAACGATATTTCGTCTTTCAACTAAAACCTAAAAAAACACATAAGCTACCTTGTAGTGTATGGTGACCTCGTACGCGTGGCCGGCCTGGTCGGCGGCACGTCCATAACTGTCTGTGTCGTTGTCGTCGTTGTTGTCGACGAAGTGGTCCTTCCAGCAGTGGAAGGGCGTGGGGGAGCGGCGACCCTGCCCGGTCGCCGCCTGGCACTTGTGGAGTAGTTGTCCTACTTCCTCTTGCGCCGTGCAGAGGGTGCCGCGGCCAACGCTGACCCTGGCTGGGGAGCCTTGCCCTTACCCATCTCGCCGATAGCAGCGGCGTCAATCTCACTGAAAGACCACTCCTCGCCGTACTTGGTGAGCTCCCCGTCGAGGCGGCGTAGTCGTCACATAACCATCTTCATGGTGGTTAGCGATCGACCGCGTGCCCAGGCCTCCGTGAGGTCAGCGTCTGAGCGGACCCAGGTTGACGATTCGTTAGACTTGGTGAATGCCGAGTGGTGCACCGCTCCTGCCTAACTGCCCTCTCCTTAGCCGACACGACGCTCCGCGGCGACGAGCAACCGCCACCATCATGGCCATCGAGGTAGTGGAGGCCCTCGTGCACCTTTGTGATCGCCGATGACACCTCCTCCTTGATGGCCTTCCTGCGCCACATGCGGCGTTGCGGCGACACTGACCGATCGATGTGGACCTACCCGCTATGCACCGGCAACGCCGACACGTCCTTCACGTGATGTTCGATTTGGAAGCCACCTTAATGCGGCACAACGACTAAAGTAACCTTTTCGGTCTCCGCGCTGGCATTGAAGTGCGCCGCTCACTCGTCCGGTCGCATCGCTCTGATCGGCATGAATGTCGTGGGGTCATATTAACTCTGGAGCGGTGCTGACCTGCTTGAATGAGTGACAACCGCTTCGTGCGAAGGGCTTTGGGTGGGACCGGAGTGTCGGACGCGTATGTGGCAACGGTCCAGACGCGCGCAAAGCCCCTAGGTTTGTGTCTACTTTATGG